TAAATATTATGTGTTCTTTCTGGCTCCATGATAAAAGCAATTTCCTTCTATACAGCTATTTTGTTTCTTCTTTTAAAGTTTTCTTAAGCACTAATAAGACAAAAGTCACTAACGGTATAACTATCAATAACAGTCTTTTGGGGCAGGCGCGGTGGCTCATGCCTATAATCCTAGCACTTTGAGAGGCTGAGGTGAGAGGATCACTTGAGGCCAGGAGTTCAGGACCAGCCCAAGCAAAAGTGAGACCCCATCTCTACAAAAAATAGAAAAATTAGCCAGGCATGGTGGCTTGTTTTCCACAATGGCTGTACAGAGTGCAAGGGTTCTGAAGGCTTTCCCTTCTGCCTAAGTTGAAAGCTGCCTAAAAGGAAGCTAAGGGTAACTGAAGGCAGGGTTAATATCAGAGGACTCGTTACCTTTATACCCATAAGAGAACATACTGGGGAAGAGAAAGGAAAGCATCCTAGATGGTGTGGAAAAAGGGGATTATTTCAAGATTTATATGTCCAGGAATTCCTAAAATCCTCCCCAAAGTCACTCATGCAGTAAATGTGCTCATGCAATAAACTGGACACAGAAGAATATTTCCAGTGGGCTAAGGAAGGCAGGCAGGTCTCTTTCCCATTTCTGTGCCCAAATCAAGCTCCTCGTTGAGGCCGGGATAGTATTTCACCTGAGGGAGAAGTGAAAAGATAGGTGGTGACAAGAACGTATCTGTCTGGCATCTGGTTCATTGACTGTCCCCTGCTGTTCTCTATTTTAGGTAGATAATTCTGTTCTTCTTAGCCAGACTGTGAGCTTTCAGAGACATTGTCCTGTATCTTTTATCCCTTCTACACCAGCCTCCCCACTGTCCCCAGAGTGTTTAAGACAGGACGAGGCAAGGAAAAAGCATTTAATACACACAGATCTTGAAAGTTATTTCTTAAGAAAACAAGTGAGGCAGTAATTACTTATTGAATGCTTAAATGTTTTCAAACCCATGTTTTATTAATTATCCAGTGAGAGCATAAAGACATAATCCTAATCACACAAAGATTTTGTAACGTCAGTAAGCCAAGAAATCTTGAATCCTTGAGGATTCTATTTCAACATTTCTCAACAACCTTCTCTAATTCCCCAAGGCTATGACGATTGCCCAGACACTGCTCCCATAGTACCCTGTGTACTCCTCCCATGCAGACCTGTTTACATGTGTGCCTCCCTCACAAAACATGAGTTCCTTGAAGGCAGGGACTGTGTCTTGTTCATTGCAGTGGCTCTAATGCCAAGTACAAGCATCGGGCACAAAATGGGGGGCTCAACAAATATTTGTTAACTGTAGGTATAGAATAGCATCTGGGAATGATAAATCTTTGCTTTAAAGTGGCATGTGGCTCTGAACAGTTAAGAGGGGACTATACTTCCTAGACTCAGTATCTGAAAGAGCAGAATGCCAAACTTCCGTCTGAAATATAAGCACTTAGGAAACATGCGCTGGCAGGAGGACAAACACACCTTGGTCACAGGGAGTCTCAAGGGCTGGACTTTTATAGATCCAATGTCATTTGTCAGTAAGAGTTGTACCACTAAGATAGCTGGGCAAATCCTGGGACTGGAAGAAAATGCTCTATTAACTTCAAATTAAGTGCATCGACAGGCTCTTGGAGCAAACAGCTTTTAGAAATGAAAGGCCTCCTAGGGAAACCAGCCTCCAGGAGAGTGGGAGCCATTGTGATTCCACTAGAGAAACCAAACTCTCTGTAAAAGGCCAATGTAGGGCAGAATTTTATTCTTTTCAACGTGAGCCAAATTCTTCTCCTCTAATAAAATAACACATAGCCTAAAAGCAAAAGTTATGGAATTATTGATTTGGAGGCCATTTTCCATATCCTGTGGTCCCCAAAGATGCCCTCGAATTTTCTGCAGCAGCAGCGCCCCTTTCTCCTAGACATTGTCACCAGATAGCCTTGTTTCCTAATGACTCAAGTTATATACCTATCGTAAGGATAATTATTACAAAACAATATGTAATCCTCACTTTTTCCTTCAAAAATCTTTGTCTTCCTTTACCTCCCTGAATATGCACATAGTTTACTATGGCATGTACATTCCCACTGTAATGCTCTATTCCCAAATAACCAACTTTTCTTTTAGAAGGCCCCTTTCTGTTATTTAGGTTGACATATATGGTGTCAGA